TTTTTTTTTTTTTGTTCTGTTCATCGTCGTTTCATTTTGCACTAAAACGGAGCAAATTTATGATATTTTTTCTTTTGCCTGTGGAATTCTCCTTTTATCTTTTTTGTAAAATACAATAAAAGATGAGTCTGGTATAAAGTACTTTAGGATTAACTCTAAAAATATAGATCTTTTTTCATCTAAATTAGTTTCAGCTCTATTTTTTTTTCTGGTGGTTAAACCTGAGAGGCTTTTCTTGCCTTCAGTAAAGTTTGTTGAACAGATTTCTTTCAGTCAAACATTTTTTTATCTAATCATTTTTACAGGCAGTTGAGGTGTAGACCTTATTTTCTTGAGCAGCGGGTAAATTTCTCAGTGGTGCTGTATCGTTCCTTGAGCAGCTAAGGAAAACGAAACAGATTGAGAGTATAGCCGGAGACCATCAGATTTCAGTTTTTACTTAGTAGTTTTTTAGTTGTTTCTTACTCAAACTGGTGTAGCATGAGTAATTTGGTGGAGAAGTTGTGGCTTCAAAATTTTTTAAGTGTGGATTTATTGCGAATTGGTTTTTTTAAATTTTCAATTAATGCATTGATGTTTTGACATGTCGCATCGTACTGATAAAAATTGGCAAAGTTGCTCTTCACTCAATGAAACAACAAAATTTTTTGAGTTGAACTTATTTTTTAATTATCGGGTTCAATTATGGTAAGAGATGAAAGACGTAATTTATAATGGGACTGCTGAGTTTTAGGTTTTTCGTACAGTTATTGGAACCGTCGTTTTTCATTTTAGTAAGGTTAGGGATTTTTTGATATCCGTCAGTTCATTACTGTTGCATGAGGCAGTGTTACTGCACTCGTCTGAAATGTGGCTTTGTTGACCGTAGGTACGTAACTGTGTCTATTCGTTCGTGTACATAACTATTCATTCTAAGCGAGGTTTTCTGAAATTTGTTACATGCAGATGAAGCCTGTTGAAGCTCGCTGTCCTTTTTTAATTTTTTCAAGGTTGAAACAAAATCATGGTCATTAGAAATGGTTGAGATCGGTTGTGCTCTGCAGGGATTTTTCAGATTTATAAAAGGAAATTTTTACCGTACACCTTTTATTACTCGTTTATTCGTTAGCAAACCACCTCAGAAATATTCAGTTTTGCTGATGAAGTAAGTCTTTCACCGGATGTAGCAGTACCAGTTTTCAAATAGAGAGGCACCGGAGGAACTGCCGTGAGAGGAGTTACGTTTGTCGGGACCGAAGACTGTTCAGATGATTTGTCTGGACAGGAACTACCTTCAGAAATGTTTTTATTTGTAATTGGCAAGGACGTCGATTCGAAGTGATGTTGGCACTTTTCCAAAGCTTCCAATGAAATTGAGTCGATGCACTTGTACGGATCTTTAAGGTATATCTTTTAAAAAGACTGAAAGTCAGTAAATTCACAAGTTTTGTCACTGAAGGTAAAGGCTGTTTTTCATAGTTGTTGGATGAAAAGTTGATTCTGCTTCAAAAAGTTTGACCAAAAAGACGGAAGGGAAAGGTTGTTAGGGAAATTAGTCATGTGAATATGCATCATTTTTAGATAGCAGTCGTGTGCAGAGGCTCGATAGAATATTGTATTGGTTGTGTTGGTTTCACAGTTTTGTTGCTGGTTAGGACTTATAGGTAAAATGTTGAGTTCTATTTGTAAGTATCTGGGTTAAATTAGCTGTACGTTATTTTGACGGAGTATATATATATATGATTTTTTTGGTAGTTTGAATTTTTAACGTTGACAAGTTCGAATTAGGATATGAGTATGCTTGTAGCTGCAGTATTTTTACAAAGTTTTTGTGAAAAGTCTGTTTGTCTAGCTTAGAGCCGTACGTGTATGGATGTTATTTATGTGTTACAGTGATTTGTTTTATCGAGCATGGCTAGAGCGGAAAAGTTTAGAATGAACAGTGCGCGATTGTTTTTTTACTGAAAAGGCAGTTAGAATGTCAGTTTTGTCCGAAATAGCGTGCTTATT